AAGTGCCTTCTATTGGCATCAGGCAAGAGGCGGAGCCCGGCTTCCTCTGGGTGGCCTCTCCTTACTCCCCCGCTGCCCCACCTGTCCTGCAGCCCAGCCTGGGCAGGGCCTCTTCTCCTAAGAATCCCCAAAGCCCAGAATCACCTTCCAGTTCAGAAAGTGGCAGCAGGGCCAGGTGAGGGCAGCGAGCTCTGCACTGCCCCAGGAAGCCTGCACAGCCCCAGGCGGGGGGCTGTTTGCCTCTCTTGCCGTGTATCAGCCTTCTGTTCACACATGCACACACACATGTGCACACACACACACACGCACGCACACACGCACACGCAATGTTTGTTTCTCTTAGGATCCGAAGACTTGAGCTGTCTTCTTGCTTGTGTGATGTGTGCGAGGCACTTAGGCTGTCTGTGCCTCCGTCTCCCTAGCAGATGATGGAGACGGTGATGCAATGCTTGTCCCGAAGGTCTACAGTGAGCATTAAATGACAGAGCTGTGATTTTCCCCCTTCTATTTTTAATTTCTAACTTCATAATATATGAACACATATTCATATTCATTATGTTTCATTTTTTAAAAATCATAAACATCGCTGCAACCATATCCCTCACTGTCTTCCCTAGTGGTGGCCACCGGGCATTGTCTCTCTTCCTAGACCTTTCCAAATAGTCGCGTGCTGTCTGGGCTCCTGTGACATGTCCAGCTTTGTGGGATCACATGAAATGGATTTTTCTGCCGCCTGCCTTTTTCTCATCATAGCATCTATCAGAGACGCTGCGGCCTCAGTACTGCTGTCGGCTCATTTACCAGCCCCCGCGGTACTTTGGGCTCTTTCCAGTGAATCACTGTTAGAACCAGCACTGGTGGACTGGACTGGGCATGCTACTCTGCACACCCAGGCTGGCATTTCTAAGGGTGGATGCAGTCCATGAGTTCCTTTTTGTGCTAGTTTGACACATTGCAGCCTTAGTTCTTTGTGTTCAGTGCCTGCCTGTTGGTGGCTCTGAGCTAGTCTTTCCATGTGTGGCTGTCCCAGGGTACGTCAGCCTCCTCTGTGAGGCTATGTGTGCACGGAGGGGCACAGCCGTAAGCCTGGGTCCTCACACAGCAGCACCAGGCCAGGTGTGCCGCCAGGCCCTGAGCAGGTGCAGCCCTGACCAGTGGGGAGCCTCTGCCCTGTGCAGGGCCCTCCTGCCTCCTGAAAGCCCACTCTGCCTCCAGCTCCACCAGCACAGGAGCTGGGGAACCTGGTTCTAGCCCTGGGCCAGTGACCATCCATAAGCCACTCACCTCTGAGAGACTTGTTACCTCAAATGTAAAACAGTGCTGTGGAACTGGGCGTAGTGGTGGATGCCTGTAATCCCAGCGCTTGGGAGGCTGAGGCAGGAGGATTGTTGCAAGTTCGAGACCAGTCTGGGCTATAAATCAGTTTAAGACCCATCTGAATCGCATCGCGAGACCCTGTCTCAAAAAAAAACAAAAAACAAACAAACAAACAAAAAAAAAAAACAACAACAAAACCAGTGATGTGGTCCATTTCCCAGGACAAATAGGGAGACTGAGATGAGACAAAGAATTGGAGAGGGCATGGACCCTTCCAACAGGAATGAGTAGTGTCCTAGTCCTGCTGCTGGCCCACAGCCTGTCTCATGTACTCTCTCTGAAGGGTCTGTTGGCTACTGACTCAAGCACCTGCTGTCCTTTTTGGTGTCAGTAGCCAACTCAGTTACTAGATCTTAGTAGCCCACTAAGATGCTAGCCCTAACCAAGATACCTGCTTTCACCTGAGAGACCAGCTAGTGCTTCCCATCTCCTAGGGAGATACTGGCAGATTCCTGTCCCCAGTAATGAATGCACACCCATAACACAATCTCTTTAACAGTGTCTTTTGTCTTCATTAAGCTATCAGTTCTAGAGGGCACTGGAACATAGTAGGTGCTCAGCAAATGTTGTTGAGAATAAATTAGTGAAAAGCCTTTGGCTGAGTCATAGGTCACAGTGATGGATGATGGTACAGGCAGTGGCGTTGAAATTTTGGACAGGCCATCCCGAAGAGCACCATGTAGATAAGCATCATGCCGTGGGCCAAGGGCAAAGGCAGAAATCATTCCATTCCTCTTCTCCCTGAGAGAAAAGCCAGCTGGCTGCTCCAGGAAGCCTCCTGGATGGGTGCTTTTTGGAGAGGCCACCCCCATACCTGATCAGCTCCAAGCCTTCTAGGTTGAGAGATTCCATTTCATTAGTTCACCCAAGGGTGACCAGACTCTGGGAAATCAACCAAGCAAGCTACTGATTGATAAGCAAGAACGGCAGTTTATTAACTTAGGCTGGCAGCTGTGACTGCTAACCAGCCCGTAGCACTTGAGTCGGTCCCTCTGCTTGCATGTTCTTTTCTACAAAAGGAAAATTCACTTGGGAACTCAAGTCAAATTCAGCAGAGTGGAATGAAGTAAAATTATACTAAATAAAGCAGTTGCTGCTGCTCTACACGGCTGTACGTGGATGTGGGCATTGTTACCATCACGTTTTGTAGGTGAGGACACTGAAGTCAAGTGGATGAGTTGATCACTGAGAGTTGGAGCCAGAGCCCAAACCCAGGCGTCCTAACTCCACCCCACGCCCCCCGGTACTCTTTCCTCAGTACTGCCTGACACACCCGTGCGGGGCCCCCTTAGCCCTGGCCAGAGCCACACAGCTTCCCCCAGGGTCTTGCCTGCCTCCCTGAAGAGATTCTGGGGCCCCCTGAGTCTCACTGGCAGTGTCCCTTGCTCTCAGGAGGGCACCTGTCCTTCTGCAGATGATAACAAGAAAACCCTCATGGTAGCTACCACTCGCAAGGGCTGGCTGTGGCAGGCACCAAGCGAGGCGCCCTGCCTGCGTTCCCTCTCCCTCATGACAGCCTCACGGGGCAGGCGCTCTCCCCCGCCCTTCAGCGCTAGGGACTGACAGGCACGGGAGACAATGTCTTGCCCAGGTCTCCCTGCTGGTGAGTGGCGAGGCGGCGACCCCAGTCAGGCTGCTGCTCATAACCATCCTCTCCACCCCACTTGCAAGTGGGATCGGCCTTCCTGTCCCGTCGCACACCGGAAGCCCCACCAAAGCTCTGGTCCTCTGTGCTCTGAGGACACTGGCATAGAAGCTAGCATTTCCCCAGGTTTTCCAGGGAGCTGGATCTGAAGCACCTCCCTGGAGTCTGGGTCCTGGAAGTCCAGGAGCTGGTGGCTGGGATGAAGGAAAGGGCAAAGTGCAGGTTTCCAGGAAGCTCCAGGTCCTTTGCCCCCTTGCTCTTCCCACAGTGCTCTGCCAAACCGAATGTCTCACTCTTCACAGTGACCTCAGGTCTGCAGTGTTCCCCTCGGGCAATGGGGGTGAATCTATGGCACACTACCACAGCAGGCTGTCTGCACCGTTGACAGCTCTGAGAGGTTCGCCGTCACTGGCCCGGGTCCTCTCAGCCCAGCAAACCCCTATTCATCCTCCTTCAGTCCTCAGTTGGAGTGCCATCATCCTGTCCAGTCAGGGCCCCTCCTCTACAGCCCTGAGTTTTCCTGTCATTGTCTACAAGCGTCCCCACTAAGCTGTGAGCTCCCCAAAGCAGGCACAGCTCTCACCAAATCCTGACGTGCAGCTGGCACCCCGTGAATATTTTTGTGTAATAAATAAGTTTGGGTAATCCAGGGAACACAAGGTTGCACATACAAGTGATGGAAAAGCAGGGCCCAGCCTTAAGAGTATGCATGGATTTAAAGAAACCCAACCCCATGTAGAACAACAGTTTTTGGCTGGGTGTGGTGGCACACGCCTGTAATCTCAGCACTCGGGAGGCTGAGGCAGGAGGATCACTGTGACTTCAAGGCCACCTGAACTATATAGCAAGACTCTGTCTCAAAAAACAAAAACCATAAAACAGTTCTCACTTTTGAAACACTAGTGGACTGGGGGGAAGGGCTTGGGACAGGGTCTCACTATGTAACCCAGTCTGTCCTTGAACTTGTGGAGGTCTCTTGCCTGTCTCCCGAGTGCTGGGATTACAGGCGTGCCTCACCATGCCCAGCACTAGTGGACTTTTTGGCCCTTCTCCCTAGAAAGGCGTACTGTGCCTGCCAAAGTTATATGCTGTGGGGGGAGGCTCTGCTGGCCAAGTTTGGACCCCTGAGGAAAGCCGCATGAGAGCAGGGGTGTCGGTGTAGTTAGTGGGAAGGCCTGGTAAGGACAGTGGGCAGCAGAGAGGAGCTGGCACGAAGGGAGTTGGTTCACAGTCCCTTGGGCCACAAAGGCCCCGCGGGGAGAGCCTATTTCCTAGTAGGAAACGCATTAACCCTGAGTGCTACCCATGAGCAGCAGAGCAGAGTGGTTAAACTTGGGGCCCGGGAGCCAGCCGGCTCAGGTTCGGGTCGTGGCCTTGCCATTTCCCAACTGTGTAAATGTGGACAAACATTTAACACCTCTCGGTTTCCTCCAGAGGTGAGTCCTACTAGAAAGGGACGTCAGAAGGACAGATGGGCTGCTGTCTATACAGCATATGACAACTGTTCAATCCCTGCTTGCTGCTGCCTTGGTTTATCCTCTAACCCAGAGCGGGGCCCTGAGGGAACGCCAAGATATTGGGCGCAGTTTGAAGGTTCCCTCCGCGAGGAAGCCTTTCCCAGCTCCCTGCCATACTCTCCCAGGCCAGGCCCTCTCTCTGGTACCTTGTATTAGTTTTTGGTTACCCTCATACTAACACTTACTTCCTGCCAGACTCTAAGTAGGATCTTGTCTCTCTTTCTGTGTCTACACCTGTGCCTGGTAGATAGCAGGTGCTTAGTAAATAGGTGTTGGCCAGAATTAGTGGCAGAAGGTGTTGGAACAGTGCCAGATTCTGGGCTTTCACACGAGGGTGACCGCGCAGCCAGGCCGCAGTGAGGAGAGTGAAATTGGGGTGGGCCCGCAGGGGGTGCCTGGGCTGCCATAACCATGTCCCACGTCTGGACCTCAGTCTTCTGTCTCTCTCCTCTCGTCCCCAGTTCCTGGCATTCGACACCCAGTTGCTGATGGGTAACCGCCGCCACTCGCTGAGCCCTGAGGAGTATATATTTGGAGCCCTCAACATTTACCTGGACATCATCTATATCTTCACCTTCTTCCTGCAGCTTTTTGGCACCAACCGGGAATGAGGAGCCCTCGACACCCCACCCCGCTCCTCCAGAAAATGCTCCTTCTCGGTCCCTAACCCCCTGTGCTCTCACCAGACCAGACATAAACTCGCTGCAGCCAGCCTGTGGCCAGCCGCTCAGTCCCTCAGCCAGCCCTTGCGCACCCTCTGCAGCTTGTACATTCGCCACCTTCGGGTGCCGCGGAACTGAGGCCATGCCACCCCCTGTGCCACTGTCCTCCCAGTTCTGTCTCCCAAACTAGCGAGTCAAGGCGAAGGACCCAGAGGACAGTGGGAGAAGCCCAGCAGGGCCTCAGAGTTGGAAAGGAGACCCAGGAAGCCTGGCTGAGGCCGTGCTACACCAAGATTCCTCCCGGGGCTGGGGGGACCCTCGGCCACACTGTCCTGTGTCCACCACACCCCCTCCTGCTCTCTTTCAGGCCACGCAGTGCCACTTCGGAGGGGGCTGTGCGGGCTCCCACCTCCTCTCAGTTCCAGAACCAGCCTGTTGGGGGCCTTGGGCCCTGCAGAAAGGGACAGGAGGCAGTACTTCTGCTGTTTGCCTGAATTTGCCCTCCTGGGTCAGGACAGGGCACTGTGGGGAGGAGGTAGGGGCAGAGGGCACTGCTCTAAGTGAGGGCCTGGCCAGGGCTCCTGCCCCAGGGACAGGGGCAAGACAGCCAGCTGGGGAGAGCGGGCTCTGCAGCCGCGGCAACTACCCAGACCTGCATCCACTCAGGAGGCGTTTAGGGTTGGAGGACTCGGACTCATATCGTCCCCTTCTCAGCCCCCACCCCAGGTCCGAGGAGGAGCGAGGTGTGCTGGGGTCTCTGGCTGGAGTTCTGGGGAGGAAGCGGCTCTGGCTGCCGGGCCATCCCTGCGCGGAGGGAACCTGCCCTGCCCCAGCCCCGCCCGAGGCTGTGCCTGCTCCCTCCTCCACCTCGCACTGCCTCAGGCCGCCCCCATCTGCCGCTGCTTGCTGGCTTAGCCCCAGCCGGGTCTCCTGAGGCCTCAGGAGTTGGCGGTGTCCACCCCCCGCCCCCTGGCCACTCACTCGGCCCAGAGTCCCGGAGCCCTGGCGCCCCCATCTCCTCCTTGCTCCAGTTTGGAAACTGGCCAGCTGATGCTAACAGCCAGGGCCAGTGCCTCCAGCTGGCCCCATGTGAGGAGGCCCCGGCTCCTTATCGGCCTCCAGGCGGCTGGGATCTCAGGCAGGGTGTGCGTCAGCCACCACACTCCTGGCTGAGTCAGGGGCCCACACCTGGGGCAGTGCGCAGCCAGCGTGTGGCCAACGCCGGGCCAGTGGAAAGTTACTGAGTGGAGGCCGGGAGGCCCTGGGTGGATACAGAACCCTGCCTTGGCCTCTAATTTCTGGGCGCTCTCCCCTTCCTCCTATGCCAGGGGCTCTTTTGCCCTAGGAGAGGTAACTAGGTATGCCATCTATCCACTCCTGACTCCCCGCCCCTTCCTACTTCCAGCTTTCAAGAAATATTACAGACGTGTTTGAAGTTTTGTTCCATCTTGGGTATTTGAGGAGAGAAGAAACCAAGGACCAGCAGGTGACATGTGTGAGGTAAAGGCAACTGGGGCATGGAGGAGACGCCCACTGTGTGCTGGTCTAAATTAATCCCTGCAGCAGTGCTACAAAGGCAGTGTTCCGCGTGTCCCTGTTGCGCAGGGCAAAGCCTAGGTGCTCAGCAAGGCTTGGTTACGAGTCCAAGGTCAGACAGCAGGAGCAGATTGGAGTCCACATCCAAGGCTGCCTCACTGGACTGGGGTGTGTGGCTTGATGGTGAGGTGCTTGCCTAGCATGCACAGGCCCTGGGTTCCATCCCCTACAGCACACAGACACACACACACACACACACACACACATACACACACGGAACAAAAGGCCGCAAAGTTTCCCTCCGGTCTGAGTGGGGGCCGAGAGCTTGGTGTCAAGCCCAACATCTCTGAAGACCTGTGGCCCACAGTGGCACCTGGCCTTGCATCTCCCCATCCCACCCCCACCAGACTTTGAATTCTGAGGTTTTCGCCCGCTGGACACCAGTGGGGAGGCAGGATTCCTAGTTTCTGATTCCCAGCCTCACTGCCATCGGGCCTGTGGTCTGAGCATACCAAGTACTTCTTGCTGCCTGTGATTCAGTTTTCCCATCTACAAGAGTAGAGTCTGTGGCCATTGTGGGGCAGGGAGAAGCACCAGGACACTTATTCCTTTGACTTCGTGGCCCCCAAAGCCCTCTTAGCTTCCTTTCCTAGTCTCTGGCCTCAAGTTCTAGAAGGGTTTGCCACCTCCACCCCGCTTGGCCTGCTCTTCTCACCCTGGACAGCTTCCCACCTGTCCGAGTCCTCCTCTTCGCTGGAAAATTTATGCAGAAATGGAATTGAGCACATTTTTCCAAGGCTGGGATCCAGAAGGTTGGGGGAGAGGCAAGCCCTCGGCGATCAATAGGTGACCTGGGCACAAACCACAGCAGCCTCAAGGATGGCTGCTGTGTGGAGGTGGGGTGGCCCTCGGAGGATGCTGCGGCCGCCCGCCTTGGGTCCCGAGCGTCGTCTGGGCACTGCTGAGCTGGCCACAAAGCTAGAGCTCAAGCCTGCGTGTCTAACCTCCGATGCGGGCAGTGAGGCATTCCAGGAACACCTGGTGGGTCTTGGAAGGAGGAAGGGTGGGGAAGAGGAATGCAGGAATATGAGGAATGCAGGATTACAGGAAACTGAAGCCGGGCAGGTGCTGCAGACTATAGAGGAAGAAGGGCGCTGGCCCCTCACATTTTTGGCCTGGGTGGGGCTGGGCCCAGGAAGCGGTAGGTTGGATTTCATAAAGCTAGAAAGCAGCCCAAGTCTGTCCATGTCTGATGGGAGGCCAGAAGTCTCCTAATAGGAGGACGTGGTAGACTGGGGCCCAGAAAGCACACACGGGTCCCTGGCTCCTCACACCAGTTCCTGGGCTTTCGTGCGTGGCTCCTTCTGCATAGCCTGGGGAAGGCCCAAGAATCTCGGTTCTTCCAGTACTGAGAGAGTCAGGATCAGACAGACCTTTCCTTTCCTGGCCCACCTGGGGACAAATCCCAGGTGGCCTGTTGGGTTGGGGGGGATTGGAACTTTACACAAGCACTTTGCTGCCCTCCGGTGGCTTCTTGCGAAAAAGCAGGAGTTCTTTCCACGGGCGCTGTGGCTGCCCACAAGGGGAGATACCTGGCTGCCAGCCCTCCTTCCCCAGGTCTCCCAGACCTGTCTTCTCAACGCCATCGGCTGTTCCAAAGATTGTCCAAAGACTGTCGCATCTCTTGAACACTGTTCCCCTGTCTGCTGAAAACCAGCCTTGTGCCGCCCAGCCCTGAGCTGTTCCCGGCTGAGAGACTCCTGGGCATGTCTGTCGACCCCGGACACCACCTCGTCCTTCCAGCCTCAGCTCCCAGTGCCCCAGGGTCCCCCGCCCGTTCTCTTCCCTGGCCTCACCTTCCCGGGACCTGTGACTGACTGGAGATAATAAAAGCAAATAACACACCAGACGTTCCCTTTGCTTGCCTTCAGATTGTGGCATCAGACGGACCTGGAGTCCCTGTGTAAGCTTTTACTCAGAGCAGCCCGGAGCTCCCAGGTATGGCTGCTTCTCCAGGGAAATTGAATCCCCACCTTTACTTTCCTGGGGAAAGCTGACCGTCCTCAGCTCAGCAGATCCTTTCCGGGGGCCCGTAGCATCCCAGAGGTGGAAGCGATAACTGAGAGGCTGCCCGCCGGGGCTTGCCTTGTCCTGGAAGCCTCTTCCTTTGTGGGCCGTTCTTATTCTTCCTATTCCAGCCAAAATTGTTTCCCTAAAAGGACAGGTTTGTGTGGTACCTGACAAATCCTCCAAAACTATAAAGCTTTAAAACTAGAAAACTTGAGCTCCCAGGAGCTGTGTGGCTCACCCAGAATCCACAGGATTTATGGTACATGGTCTCAACAAGCGATTTTCAAATGACTGGAGGGAGAGAGGGAGGGAGAGAAGGGGAGGCATCCACTCCGACCTTTTTCCCCAGGGGGAAACCGGGAGCCAAAGTTGCAGTGACGCATCCAAGTTTATGCGCAGATTACTGACTGGGAGCAGGACTATAGAAGCCCTAGTTAATGGTTACATCATCAGATTCCTGTGGGGAACTTGGGGCTGGGGACAGTCTGCGGGTGGGGACGCCATTATACGGGAGCCCCAGGGGACATTATTCTTCAGCTCTGACAAGATTTTGGTATAAATTCAACTGAAGGAGGGCACGAGGGAAGGGATGCTGCAGAGAGAATGGGCGGGCATGTGAAGCCTCAGTGTGTGAAAAGCTCTTCCACAGACAGCGAGAGCAGGAGAGGGCAAGGCCAGCTGCACGGTGCAGGAGAGAAAACGCACAACAGGCCCGGCCTTGCCGCCGCGGGAGTGCCGTGAAGGTACTCCTCAGCGTAGCATGGAAGGAGAGGTGTGAGAGGTCAGGATAGGGGCAGCCAGGCCTTGGAATTAGGGCAGAAGTTGTGAAAGGCTGAAGGACCGGAACTGGAGGAAAAGGACGGATCGGGCGACATAAACGGGGGATGGTAACGCTGGGATCCTGCTCCTCTTCCTCCAGTTTCTGAGGCCTTCGGTCTCCCCTGTCCCCTCCCAGTCTACCTTTGTCTGTCTGTCCCTGTCTCTTTGTCTCTGCCTCCCTTTCTCTCCCTGTCTCTCCCCACCTCCCCGCCCAGTCTCTTGAAGTCACTAAGTTGCCCAGCTGCGCCCTAACTTGCAATCCTCCTGCCTCAGGCTCCCAGAGTTCTGGGATTAGAGGTGTGAGTCACCAGGCCCCGCTCGTCTATCTTTATTTCCTGGGGCTGCCCTAACAAATCACCACAAACTGGGCGGCTCACAACGACACAGATAACTTATTTTACCACAGTGTGGCTGCTGGAAGCCTGAAATCAGTGTTGGCAGGGTTGGTTCCTTTCAGAGGCTCTGCGAAAGCCCGCCAGGGGCCCTGCGGCTGCCGGAGTCCTCAGTGTCCCTGGGCTGCGCGCCCTCCGCGCTGCCTCCACCTTGCCCTCCCTTTGCCCCTGCACCCGTCTCTGATCTCCCCTCCTTTTTCTTATGAGGAAATTTGCCTTTGGATTCAAAGCCTGCGGTAAATCCAGGATGACAATTTCATCTCAAGATCCTTATTTTAGAAAAATACCCCATTTATTTAAAAGGTCACATTCGCAGGTGCAAGGCTTGGGACTCAAGTCTTATAGCTTTTAGGGCCGCTATCCAACCCACTGCCCCATTTGCGCCCTCCTGACAGCTGCGGCCTCTGAACCTCCTCCTTTCACTTCCGGAACAGCTTCTCTCTGTTCCCAGGCCCTGTGAGACTGGAGAAACCCAAAGCTGAGCAACCAGCTCCAGCTCACACCCACATTTGTGCAAGTCTGGCTGCTCCCAGAAAACCCGTTTGCCCTCTTCTGAATTGTCCTGCGTGCGTGCACACACGCACGGGCGCGCACACACACACAGCGCGTGGACACACACACACACACACACACACACACAGCTAAGGTACTTTCCTCCCAACCTACAACACCAACTCCTCTCCAGGGAGGAGTTTTTTCTTTTCTGGGAAAACCCTGCCAAAAGCTGTGCGCTTCTCCCTGCTCCTCATTACCTCTGCAGCCCTTGTTGGTTTGGTTTTGCCTGAGCCCCTGTGCAAGCCCAGTCACCCTGAGGCCGCTGTGCTTGAGAAGCCGCATTCAGAGGTTCTGATGGGATCCAGCCAGGCGTGGTGGCCCACGCCTGTAATCCCAGCACTCAAGAGGCTGAGGCAGGAGGATCACCACGAGTTCGAGGCCAGCCTGGGCCACCTGGTGAGTTCAATGCCAGGCTGAGCTACAGAGTGAGACCCTGCCTCAAAAAGAAAAAAACAAAAAACTCAGCGTGTCCCAGCCTTCCAGCCTGCCTTTTGAAGTCACCAGGGAAGTGGACTCTCTAACTTCAGTTGTTCTGTCCCCAGCCATGAGGTCCTACCTGAAGTCCAAGACGTCAGGGAGCATCGATAACCTCTGTGCTGGGTCCAGATTCCTAATCCACGGAGGATCACTGAGTTCAAGGCCAGCCTGGGCTACAAAGTGAGTTCAAGTCCTGCTTGAACTGCACAGCAAGACCCTGTCTCAAACAAACAATTACACAAAAATTTAAAAATTAAATAAATAAAATGCCCAGTCTTTCTGAGATATAATAGAAAAAAAAAATAAAGACAGATAAAAAGGAGACAAGGAAAATTGTAATTTTAAGATTGTACTTTTAAGATGAACTATAGTGTCAGGACACTTTTTCTCTTCCAAAAAAACTAACTCAAAAGATAAAAAAAAACACTGTCTGAAAGACACAACAGGCCTGTAAATTGGACTTTGAACTGAGCTTTTTACCTTCTCACCTGTAAATTGCCCTCCTCCAGAGGAGCCCCACCCTCAAGGAAGCGACAGATCTCCATGTCACACACATGCACATGGTCTCCATTCCAACACGGCTGGCCAGGTGGGCAACCTGACGGGCAATAGGCATACACATCCCAAGTCACCCCTCCTGAGGACACCTACAAGACCACTTAAATACGCCCGGTACTGGGATGGGTCTGAGAGGTTCCCAAAGCTGAAATAAGGAACTTAACTTGCCTTTTTTAAAAAAACAGGGTCTCCCTATGTAGTACAGGCTGGCCTTGAACTCATTATGTAGACCAGGATGTCCTTAAATTTACAGTAATCTTCCTGCCTCAGCCTCCCACGTGCTGGGATCATAGGCGTGGACACCATGCCCAGCCTTAATTCACCCTATTGGAGCAGGTTTGCTGACTCCTGTCACAGAAGAGAATTTTCAGGACACATCAGTAAGTAGCACAAAATAGGTTTAATAGAATCTTAGGATGCACTCAAGAATGAAATGCAGGCACTAGAGAAATGAGATGCATTATAGTTTGGAACTGGGAACATTTGTACCTCTCTTGAGAAGGGTGGGAAGCCTAGGAAAAGATGGTGCACCTTCCCCTATCAGGGTACTAGTCCATTCTGCAGGTGTGCGTGTGTGACTGTATGTTAAGTAGGTAATTTAAACATTCTTTGGACCTGGGTATGGTGGCACATGCCTGTGATCACATCATTTGGGAGGCTGAGGCAGGAGGATCACCACGAGTTCAAGGCCAGCCTGTGCTACATAGTGAGATAAGGGCCAACTTGAACTGAACTACATAGAAAGCTCCTATCTCAAAAAAAAGAAAGCCGGGCGTGGTGGCACACTCCTGTAATCCGCGCACTCGGGAGGCTGAGGCAGGAGGATCGTTTTGAGTTCAAGACCAGTCTGGGCTACAAAGTGAGCTCAAGGCAGCCTGAACTGCGTAGCGAGACCCTGTCTAAAAAAGACAAAAACAAAAAAAAAGGAAAGAAAGAAAGAGATTCTCTGGAGTTGTTCAATCTGCTCCTTTATGTTAGGACCAGATTTCTGCTCTTTCTCAATTAAGCCAATTTATGAACTGTTAGCATCCTGGGGAATTTCGGGTGTGAGGTTATTGTAAGTAGTTAAGTTATTTAGAAATATTATAGGTAGACAGGGCTGGGCACTCAGAATTGTTCAGTGCAGAAGACAACTGTGGCTGGAGGTGGCTTCACTGAAGGTCAGGCCTCAGGGTAGAGAAAGGACCACACCCACACACTTCCCCTAAGGATAAACAGCAGTGACTGATATTCTAAGCAGGCATCAGTCACCTTGGGTGGGAGGACTAAAACCTCCTTGGCCTCTCCCTTCTAGGAAAAATCCTTATTTGCTCTATGTACACTTGCTATGTAACTTGCTTCTCCATTTGATTACCATTACATGGCTATTACCTAAGCATCCTACTTGTAATCTTATTGGTTGACCATAGCTTTGTCTCACCTAATACCTACTTTGTGATTTTCTACTGGATCAATATTATCTAATCAGGCCAGTTGTGGTGGCACAGGCCTGTAATCCCAGCACTCGGGAGGCTGAGGCAGGAGGATCGTTGTGAGTTCAAGGCCAGCCTGGGTTACAAAGTGAGCTCACAGATGGCCTGAACTGCACAGTGAGAACTTGTCTCAAAAATACAAAAAAAAAAAAAAAAAAAACCCAAACAAACAAAAAAACCCCAATATTATCTAAGCAACTAGTAATCTTATTAGTTAACTGTACTTTTGTCCCACCTTATAGCTGCCTCACTTTGTGGTTTTACTCTGTGAAACTCCCTTGAGAAGCATGTTCTGGACACCCACTTGTTTCTGTCCCTCTTAGACACTCCTTTCTCTCAATAAATATTTCCTACTATTAACCTCTGTGGTTCCTAGAATTCTTTCTTCAGTTTTAGAGAACACAAACTCGGTATATCAAACGTCTAGCAGGTTGGAAGTCACAGTATTTCCCTTATATTATTTGGATTATTTGGAGGTCCTATATCATCCCTATATCATTTGGAGGTCCTACTGAGATAACTGGACTCTTATGTTTACTTTTGTTTCATTGATTCCGGATTGTGAC